AGTATCCCAAAATTGTAGATGCAATTTATACAGTCAAAATCTTTTAAATAAAGTCTAGAAATAAGTTATCAGAGATGCAACAGATTACAGATTCAACATGAATTTGAACTATGTTGCACGAAGTATAAAAACAAAGAATTATTGGCTTTATATTCCAAATATATATGTTAGGATTTTATTAATTTTAATTAATAAACATATTTACCCCAACTTTTTTATAACTTCTTCAAGAAAAAGTAATGAAATAAAAAAAATACCATCTCAAAAATAAAGATGAAATATATTTATATTTTGTGAACAAAAATGCAAGCAAATCTAAGAATTTAGATTTATCCCACACTCAAACTATAAATAAAAAACCTTAGAATTAGGTTTTGGCATTAAATAAATTTTCTTTTTTTTTTTTTTGTGTGTATATTGTACCGAACTTTACAAACGTTGTGCCCCTTCAAAACTATTCACAAAAAACCACTGCCCCACCTTAACTTTCCATAGGGCTTTGTAATCTGCGTCTTGCTAGAAAGTAAAGCGCTTGGCGAATAAAAAATAAAAGCATAAAAACCACAGGCCGTGCGACAGCAGACAGTTGCGGGGCACCGCAGCGTTCGTGGGGCTAGACATTACAAAACGCTTTCTCATCGGATGGGGGTCGTCAACGCCTGTCAGTTTTGGGCCGCGTTCGCAGCGCAACTGCAGTTGAAAACTGAAATGAATGCGGCGGCAGAAGCAGCAGAACAACAAAAAATTGAAGAGCAGCAGTGGTTGGCCGGCAATGAAGTTTCCCGCAGCGCCAGAGCCTGAAATCCACTTCTGGAACTAGTTCTTGTGCCTTTTTTGTGCTAGGCCAGGCGGGCCATGCGACTGGATGCTGGGGTTTTGCGGTGGCCACTTCATAATGGCCGTCGATTAGCGCAAAAAATTGTTGCTTGAGTCGACTTAGCGTCAGCTTTGGCACACCTCAAAACGACTTTAAATTGTGGCCACAAGCCATTTAAAAACGACAAATTCTCCCACAATCGCGGCCTCATCCCCTAGCTGCTACGTGTGGACCAGTTATGACAAAGTCAGCGTCAACTAATTACACATGTAGCTGGGGCTACCCAAGCCAACGAATTTGTTGTTGTTATGGTCCTACTTTGATGGCCACATAAAAGCCCACCGCAAGCAGGGCTCCTGACAACAACAGCAGCAGAAATGACTCTAGGAGTAGGAGGAGGAGGCGGCGGCGGGACACATGGCACATAGGCAACTTAACCCGTTAACGCGTTAAAGAGCAAACGAGTGGTTAAAAGCTATGCCAGGACGCAGGACAAGTAGTGGGGGTCCACAATGGCAGCCGGTTGACTGGCTGACTGCCTGCTTTGCTTCTTTGCCTGAGACTGCACGAAAGCATGGTGGGCAACAGGAGGTGGGAAGGCGGAAGGGAGGAAAGGGTGACTGCCAAGTCAAAGACTTTTCGAGTGGACTGCAGCACACTGCAGAGGTTAAACACTAACCTGATGACGGCAAACACCACAGAAAAACAAAAACAAAACTGGCAAAACTTGCCAAGACGAATTTCGAATACACTAACAAAGCTGAAAACCAAACTTTTATATTAAACTTAGAATATTGTGGTCTTGCTTTTGTTTGCATTTCTTGAAAATAGTTCGGAAAAATCTTAGTTATTCTAAATGTAGACCTATCTTTTAGCATTCGTGTCTTATGCAAAATAATACTCTTTCGGGAGGAAGACTTATCAAAGAATTTGTAGATCATATACAATTTTTTGCTTTACTTTCAGAAAATAAAAGACCTGTATAATTTAGAAAATAACCATCTATGTGAACTTGGTAGCAAATTTCAGACTATTCCCAGTAATTATTATCTTGGCCAAAGATTAAATGTATCTTCTTCACAAGTAACTTGATCACCAAGTTCCTTTCAAATCGGTTTATCAAAATCTCTAAATACTAAATTACTACTTTCAATAATCTTTTTCAGCTAATTCATACGAAACACATGAGTTAGTCTTGCGACCCAGTCTAGAGTTAGTTCATAAAAATGTTTATGTAAATATGTTTTTGGACCGAACGCAGTGCCTGGCTAGCGCGTTTGTGCTTTGGTTCGTGTTGGTTATTTAGTCACTGTGCTGGGCATGTTTGGAGCCAGAGAAAATCAAGACATTTTTGAGGTTCAACTTTGCCAGGTAGAAATTTCAGTTTGTTTAGCTCTGCTGCTCGCATGGAACATTTTGGACAACTTTTGAGTACCATATTTACCACTTTAAGGACACATTGTGACATGTACGTGCAGGGAACTGCCGCAGCAAGCATGAAATATGAAAATATTATGACTTCTGGTGCATTAAAAATGTTTTTCGTCAATGTTTTTGATACTTTTTATTTCATTTTTTCCTTCTTCTTTCCTTACTTTTCTTTTTTTACCCTGCGACACTAAAAATTATGTTGCCTGACTCCTGATGTTGTTGATGACTGCCTGCTGTGGCTTCTGTGATGGGTTTGCTCTCCTCTAGCCTGCCCGGGCCTGGTCTGGCTTGGCTTTTGCCAGTTGCCTGCTACCAGTTACCAGTTGATGTTGCCTCGCTGACAGCCGCATGACGCGTCACCAACACCAGTCACAAGAACAACAGTAAGAGCAACAACAACTGCACAAACAATATGAACAACAACAGCAACAACATAATCACTTTGACGTTGATGAATAACATCAACACTTTTTGGCCAAGGCAAAGGCTGGTAAAGGATTGCAGCAAATGTTTTATTCGGCGCAACTTTTTTCAACTGCATTTGGCCAACGAGTTTTTAATGTGTTAGCGGCAGCATAAAAATGTTGCTGTAAATTTCAATTCATGTCGTAATATTTACTAATTGTGCAGAAAAGAAATGCCAGCTAAAATCAGAGAAGAGCATTGGAAAAACAGCAGTAATTGGGCTAGATGAAAAGTTTCTATTAATTTATATTCAACATTAATTAATGCTAAATTAGATATGAATTACCAACTGCATACATCAATTTGCAAGCTTTCAGACAGTTCTATATAACAGGTAAATCGAAGTATCTACGACAAGGTAAAGCATGCGCATTGGGATGACAAAATAATCGATCTAAACATGTCCATCCATCTGTTTGTCTGTCTGTCTGCCTGTCTACCTCTCTGTCAGTCTGGCTGTCTGCCTGTCTATCTGTCTGCCTATCTATCTGTCCCTCTGAACATTTGTCTACTTGTAAGAAGTCATTGAATTGGAAATCATAAGTTGGGATCATAAATATGTATATTAGTTCTCACAGAACATAGCCATGCAGACAATTAGGAAAGGGACATATTTCTTTTAAATTTAACGAATGAAAAACTTACAATACAAAAGCTACTCGAGAACAAGCTAAGAAAAGATTCACAGCCCCACATGAAAAATAATAATTTCAATAATTACATCGTCTGGGTTTTTAGAGTGCACACCTGTAGCAAAAACAATTTCCGCTCTTAAAACATAAGGTAGTTTTTTTGTTAGCTTCTCCATTTTCTATATTAGCTTGTTGTTTTCAGCTGATAATGGAGACGCTTAAGTAAAAGCTGTTGACTTGTGTGTGTCAGCTCATAGATGCATACATCAAGCATACGCTTAGTCTGCTACTACAGAAGCATTCTCTGCTAGCCTCAACAATTCGACCTCTTTTCAGCTAACCCAAATGACTTTAACCCCAAAGCCTCTTACAAAGCCTGTCGACGGCGCATAGAACTAAACCAAAACTACACTCAGCTCAACCTCAAAACTAGCTAACCAACAAACCTTATTAAAATGCGAGCTGTGCACCCTAAACTGAACCTAACCTGCCTCAATTCCTCGGCAGGGCCCTTCGTCCCGATGCACCTAAGGAAGCGTATAATTTAATTAAATTATCTGGGGCAGCTGCAGCAGCATCAGCAGCAACGAAAAATGTGCATCAAAGTGCACTTAAATCATCAGCGAGGCACGGCGACACACACAGTCAGATAGAAGACCCCCCTCTTCCGAATGAAACCTCTCGCTCCGCACCCACCATCCCCCCATCCTTTCAAAATGGCGTTGGCTAAGTGCCGTTGCATTATAAGCGAAGTGAAGTAAAGCCAGCCAGCCAACCAACCAACCAACCAGCCAACCAACTTTGTACTTTGACTTATATTAGTGACCGGAAATGCAGCTTTCTAACTGCAAGCCAGAGGATCAGGGCAGGGGAAGCACGGGCCGCCTCAATGACTTGCCAAAGTGGCGGGGAGGAGAAGGGGCGAAGCGGGCAGAAGCAGCAGCACGACGAGTCGCTTTCCTTGTCAAATGCGTACATTTTGAAGATTTTTATTTATTGCATGCAGAACAGCATTTGAATTGCAATAGATTTATGAGAACTGACGAGCGCAGCGAGCTAAGAGCTGTCAAAAGCGAACAACTCAAAGATATTTAAATATTAGAAGCAACTGGGCGAAAAATATTTGACTGTTGCATATTGCAGACAGCGCTGGCTAATACGAAAACTAAAATACAGCTCAACTCAACTCAAACTAAAGTGGAGCCAGAGTGTGACTTGGCCCGGCTCAAATGACAATACCTTGACATTATTTCTGAATTAAGTCCAGCTATGCCTGGGACTTGTTTCAATGCACACGAAATAGTTTAATTTTTCCACCATTTTTTTTCTATTGATGTCAGATCTCTTGGCGTGGTATAATTGCAATTCCCTGGAAACAATGAAGCCATCCCATGGTAAGCAGCTTTGACATTTGCTAAACGATGAAATGCAAAATGAGATAATACGAGCTGCCTTTTAAAAGAGAGACAAAAAATACTGGGGCAACAATTCTCGAGCGATTTGTGTTAAATAAAAGAGTCTCATAAGCATAATAGTAAAGTTTATATGCAGCACATTAAGGTTATTTTGACTTCTATTCAAATTTGTTAGTGCACAGGTCTGAATTGCCTTAACATTTATCCTTATATTATTATGTTTATGTGGAGTGTACTTACCCATAAGTCCACGATTCTTTAATTGTCATCAAAAAGTAGGACAAAGTCAAACTTTTAACACGCATATCACTGAAATGGGAAGCAGAAATACATTAGATTAAAACAGACATATACACAAGCATAAATTGAAACATAAAATTACGTTAATTAAATTACCAACACAATTGTTTTAGCAAAAAAAAAAAGCACATAAATAACGCATGCAAGCCTCAAGGGCTTACTTGAATTCATGACAAAACAAAGGACTGCTCAGATGATCTCATGGACCAAAAAGAACAGGGCAGACCCTACGAAGACTCAGCTCAAGTAAAAGCCGAGAGCCCAGACCGTGAAAATATATAGCGTTAGATAGCCAACAAAACTTATTTACAGAACACTTCAAATCAAAGCATGAATTTCCATAAATTCTTGGTACTAGAACTGGAAAGTGTTTAACACTTTGATGGGCATTTCCTGATTTTCCAACTGTGAACCACTTCAATAACAATTATTATTTAAGTGCCCAGCCCAATACTCTCATTTGGCACACACACAATTACCTCGATAAGAGCTCATGGCCCCAAACAATATAATGTTAGAATTCATGAAAACTTAATTAGAGGCTTATGCGGCGCTATTGCCAAAACGTCAACATTTGCATACCGCATTTAATTTGCTCTGTGCACAGATATGGCAACCACAACAAACCAACGCATTCCGTTGTGGGTGTCTGGCTAATGCGAAATAGTAAAATTAAATGAGCTAAAATTAACATAAACAATAAAGCGATAAGCAACAAATTTGCAATGCCGCCAAATTGAACAACTAATTTGGTTGGACAGTTACAAATTCATAAGTCGCTTAGTGACGGCTCACAAAAAACATTCAGTAATTGAAATGTGTAGTGCCTAAAAACACAATGCTAATATTGTGAAACAAAATTCAAATTAAATTAAAAAATAACAAATTGTATTAATTATTCAATTTTCAGTTAAATACAACTTATCAAAGCCGTAAATTAATTGCCAAAAAATGACTAAGCGTGGTTATTTATAGCAAGAAACAATCAAAGTACAAAAGAAATAATTAAATGTTTTCAAATTGAAGCAATAATTATCGCTGCCAGTCTAAGAGCTCTCAATATTAATTCTGACAGCAAGCCTCAGAGCTCCTCAGAGCTCGCGCGTGGTTGTTAAAGGATGCGTGGGTTCGGCTCTGTAAGTGGCAGCTATGTGATTAGGACAATATGCACACTGGCCCGCAGAGACTCGAAACGTCTATGTAAATAAGTTGCTGATTAATTTTGAAACGTTTTATGTACATAAATAGACGAAGATGTACATAGAAGGGCGACAAGACGACAGGGTCCTTAATGTCAAACTGTCCTTGGCTGTTTGTTGTTATTTTGAGTTGGTTGCTCGTAAAATTTCATAAACTCATCCGACTTAATTAAAATAAAATTAATTAACATTTTGGCGGCGTTGGTGCCATTTTGTGAGCAACACACTTTAAGCTGCTTGCAAAGCGTCAATTTCTATTGAAAGAGCATATAAAATACATGCGACACGAGTCGTATGCGTAATTTGCAGCAGCTCATTGCGCATACGCCGCATTGTCTTTGTGAATGAGGGATTTGCATTAATTTCAAGCTAAAACTTTAATTGTCTACGATATGCTTCCTCTGCTTCTTCATCTTCTTTTATGTCTCTGGCGCTTTGTGTAATTTATACGAGCGAAAAATGTTTGTAAAGTTGCTAAAGTTGCTGCTGCTTCTGCTGCTGCTGCTGGTACTCGTGGTTCTTTTGCTGGTGCCGCATCTTTTGTTTCCAGTCTGCTTCTAATTAAAAACAAAAGTTTTTTAATCTGCTTTATGGCATAAGCAAATAATTATTCACAATTAACTTGCACAAAAGCACGCAAACATGTCATAACTGCTTTTTTTAGGCAACTTATTGCTTCGGGGCAGAAGATATTTGCATTGAAAATATATCTATGATATAGCATTAGTGGAAAACTTAAACGCAATCGAACAAGTTTTGGGCAATACAAAACAAAGCAGCTTTTAAAGTAAACAATGGCGTCATAACTAAATGGGAGCATTTAAACTCTCTGCAAATTGGGCTAAATCCAATAAGCTCATCCAGCTATTTAGCGAATTAGTGCAGAAATAGTTTAACGGAACATTCACAGAATGCTTCAAGTCAACAATTCTGATTAGCTTGCGAGGCGCCTACGTGTTGGCCTTAGATTTGAAGCTCGGCCAATTGGCAAAGTTGTGTTTACTGTTACATAGCCAAAAGTTATGCAGCTACAGTTGCCCTGCTTAAATATGTATGCAATCCATTAACCAGAAACTTAATCAATTGAAACTAGTTTGGAATTGCAAATGCATTGCCAACAAGGCAAAAGCCAAATGTAAACGCCTAGGCTCCAAGCCAGACACTTGGATAGGCCATGAGCTTCATTTTCAAACTGTCCGGAATAGCTAACTGGCTTCCCATTCTCAACTGTGTATTTACCAAAGGTGCGTATATTCTCGTTCCTATCATTGCCGTATCCTCTGGCCAAAAATTCAACGGAGACTGCAGCCAAGCCGGCCAAGTTTACAGGCGCTCTCTGCCTTCGTTTGCCAAAAGGTAACTGATAAGTTTTCTGATTTCCAACTGCAGTTTGAATTGGCTTTTAATTGTATTTCAGCTCTGGGCATTTGCCCTCTGCGAATTTGCCAACTGCAAAATGATGATGAAAATTACCGAAAACTAAGCCGAAACTATTGACTGTCTGTGTAAGGTGTTGAATTAGCTACCTTTCCTGATAGCACTTTGCCCAGCTGTGAATTGCCTAATGGACGCCACAGCTTGCACTTATTTCTACATGAATATACAATTGGCGTTTGGCAGTCATTAAAAAAAGATGTTAATTGAGTTATTATTTAAGATACAAATAAATGTGAATATTCCTAATTGACAGTTCAATAAATTCAATAATATCAAATAGTATAAGTCTAAAACATTTTCTAACTCCTTACTTCATTAAAAGGGCAATTTAACACAAAAAAAAAAACCGTAATGTATTTTATCGAAATTTATGTGCACAAATATCAAAAGTGATCAAGTTGAGAACATATTGGAATGATATAAGACCCGTAGCGTAAATTAATGTTATCAAAATGTGTGATTTATATAGGTTACGGAGTTGGGAGGTAGCAAGTTTTGGGGGCTGTTCAGATATGGTATGAGCAGCTCTTAGCAAAACGACAACGGCAGCAGTTGTAGCTTCACACATTAAAATATTACAACATGAACTGGAAACACGAGTACAACACACACACTTCCACACACATAACAACATCCAAATTATGATGTGTCAGCACACACACAAACACACATACGCCGGCAAACACGTACAAGAACAAGAACAACAACAAGAACATCAACAACATGTTTGTAACTTTGGTGCTCATATTTTGGTAGCTATAAATAAACTAAATTGCCAAAGTCGACTCGAGTCGAGTCGAGGAACAAAAGCTGGCATTGGCATCGGCTTAACAGCAGATTAAACATAAACGCATGATGGCGATGGTGGGCGGCAATAGACGCCCCCGCCCCCGCTCCCACTACCAGCATACATTGTTATGTACGCAGCGCTCTTAACGTTTATTAAGTATGCACACATTATCCTTGCTATTGTTGGCATGCCAAGTGTATAACTTAAAAGACATGCGAATCCACACCTGGGAATACATTGAAAATACGCTCATTAGAGCTGAGCTAATTGATTTCTGAGAGACGTATCAATCATCATAAAGTATGTTAATTGCTCAAATCAACAAGAAAAAAGGAAATTAAATTGCTTAATTATTAGGCTCAGGGATACCCTAAACTCAAGACTAAATATATGTTTAAGATACAGTCATATCTCTTTTAACTAGATATAGAAATATCGCAAGGCTTTTACACCATTTACTTACATTTACATTTTAAAAATGTTCATATGTCAAAATAGTCTTCTGTGAATATGAAACTTAATTGTGAAAATTACATTAAACTGCATTGGTCGAGACTTCGCAATCAAATTAGCTGCTGTCAAAGATCCGTGCAACAAAAAGAAAATCATGTCAAGCTGAAAATTTTTAGCCCAAATGTTAATTGGGCTCATGACACGGCCTGACGGCACATAAATCACTAAAATATGAAGCCAATGCACCGGACAAGCCAGCCAGAGAAAAAAGAAGAACATTATAATAATAATCCCAGGCAAGCATTGACCAGGCCAGGAGGCAAAGTCTTCAGGGCAAAAGCGAGAAAAAAAATTGTTTTTTATTTTTTTTTTTGCATTTGGGTCTAACGAAACGTAACGACAAACGCAAAAGCTTGAAAATGGAGAACGCAGTAAAGTAAAAATCGTAATTGTGGCTAAGAAAAATGTGAATGCTCTTTCGTTTGCATAACCTGCTTTTAGATATAGGTTAACTTGTAATTAATTTAAAATAAACATTTTTTGGCTCTGCTAATTAATAGTAAATGATAAAGGTTATTGATGCTGATAACTTAATAGTTTATCTGGTTAAACATTTGAATAAAGCTCTGTAAACACGCAGCATATCCATTAAATTTTTAAATGCAGAGCATCAAAACGCGCTTGTGCTTGCCCAGCGTTAACTAGTTGGCCAAGCCCACTCACAAACCGAATTATTTTTATATAAAAAAGATGAAAAGTAGACTATGGCAAAACGATCAAAAATAGCAGACTGGGAGATACCCCATAAAGCATTAGAGTAGAAGAGTGAGGAATGGACAGTTTATATATATAAATATTAGGTCTAAACTAAATAATATATAAAGATAGTAAAAAATATCTAACGTTTAGAATCTACTTAATGAACGCATTTATAGTCAGATTGTCACATTTGCCTCTAACTTTTGGCACATTTTCTCACATTGGCACATTTTCACAATCACATATCGTCATTTTTAATAGAGACAGGGTATGCGAATTGCAGAACTTTATTTTCATTGAAGTCTTTCAAGTGAAATGTAAGTACAACGTAACTTAAGCAGTTTTACATCTCCAAGCAGCATGAAATTGAT